ATAACCCATGCAGCTATCCCTTGCAGCTGGTTGCTGAACTTGCTGGGTTTGTTACACAGCGCGCTAACCACTGCACCACTACTCTACATACATCACGAAACTCGTGCGATCCAGCACCACGGTCCGATGAGCAGCCAGGAGATTCCGACACCCACAGTGCCACCCACCCTCCACGAAGATTACCTCCTGCACACAGCAACCGCAGCAACTGAGGAGCAAACCCATCAACCCTCCAGTGCCACGTCCATCTTCCTCCTCGCTACCTCTCTCCACCGCGACGTCCCAGCAGCTCCCTCCTCCACTCGACGGTCTCTGACCTCCTCCATTCTCCAAGGACCCACCGCTCCACCATTGGTGGGCTCTCCTTTAGCCCCCCCCATCCTATGGAACTCTCGCCCCAGGCAACTCCGCCTGCCCCCCCCCCTCTCTCTCAAGTCTCTCATCAGCGGCTTCCCGTTCACCCCGTTGCCGTCGCCCCTCCCGCACCGCTCGCTTTCTCTCCCTCCCTCCCTCGCTCTGTAACTCCACACTCCGAGACATGCGTTACGTTAATGGCGCGGTGAATGAAAGCAGCTGCTGCTGCTGCTGCCGCTGCTGTTGTTGTTGTTGTTGAACTCCTCTGAGACAGGACTCGAACCCAGACATGCCAGGAGGTGTCGCGAGTGAAGTAACGAGCGGCCCTCGCGCGGAGGGCGAGGAGGGCGAGGATGAACCTCGAGGAGGAGGAGGAGTTGGAGGAGTAAAAATCTGTTGCTTAACCCGAGCGATAAGGAGCAGGAGGCTTTCGCGAGGTCACGCCCGAAAAACACCAAGAAAAAAAAACCCAACAGATAAAAACAAACGCAGGATAACAGCGGCGGCGCAGCGTGAGTGGGTGGAGGGGCCCCGGTGGAGCCAGGGAAGTCGTCTCGGTGCTGCCCTCGTTTAACGCGACAACGAAAACACTGAAATAGTTTTTTTATTTTGCCAGGTAAGGCGCACTGAGCTATGTAGCTCTTCTTTCAGAAGCGACGTGGCCATCGCAAATGGTAGCTCAACAAAGTGGCTTATCATCACGAGGAGATGTATAGCAGCCAAATACTCGGAATGCACCTCGAGTCTTTACTGTACGAGGGAACAAGCGGAGGACCCGGAGCAAAATCCACGCGACCACGGGGAGAGCGAGAGATGCAAACTGCAACTACGCAACAGGCGTCAGGGCTTGGGATAGAACCCACGACCTCCTGCACACCCGGCGAGGTAGTCAACATCTCCTGAGAGAGCACGGAGCCAGCGCTGCCGGCATCCAGAGCGCGGCTCTCCGGCGCCCGTGGTCGCTTCTGCGTTTGCGAGTGGAGTGAGTTGAAGATGGTCTCAGCCCGGTCACCAGCGACCCTTCGAGATGAACAAACAGTTATTTATTTCTATTTGCCGAGTAACATAATATCGCTCAATTCTAGCTCTGCGACTTTAAAGTTCCAGCATTGCCGACACTCGACACGCGCACCCTTGGCGTTCGTGTCCGTGCCGTGCAGCTGACAGGCAGTGCCAGGTAGTAAAGGTAAAGGCGGAGCCCTGCAATGTCTCGCTCGCACCGCTGCTGTTGGAAGGCCCTCCGCTCAAGGGGACCCAGCGGGTGGAAGAGTTGGGAGTACCCACTCACTTCACCCTAGCGCACGTGAACTGACCATCAACCAAACCGCCGTGAACCCATTCACATCGCTGCACGGTGGAGAGACGCGATGGAGTGCGTGTTTAGAAACTCGCACCATCGTTTCAAATGCCGCGCCGGAAAATGGAATCGAACCGTCGTGGCTCTCAGTGGGCAGCGAGCGGGCGGTCGTGCGTTTGCTTGATCAGAATCAGAGTCTTTACGGAGACCGGAGCGTGAATCCGATGATCCGTGAAGCTCTTTAACACAGATGTCCAGTAAGCGGCGGGTCAGAAAGTTCCAACAAGAAACAAAACAAAAACCTAACTTCGCCGCAACGAGCGTCAAACACGCGCCCACAAGCAGCGGCGTGCTACACTCCACGCGGCACCCAGCACAGAGATATGATTACACAAAGCTCACATTCCAGGCGTCTTTAGTTATCATCGCACAGCAACTCCACCCCCCCGCCCCCAGGTGATTCTTTTTCGCACTCTCTTTCTCTCGCAGGGTAGTTCAATCCGAATAATCAACAAGCACGTGTCGGCTTTAGGACTAATGTGTCCAGAGAGAGAGAGCGCGAGAGATGTTACAAAGCAGGGAAGGGATGCGGGTAAAGTTGCCGCAGCCTTGAGTGTCAAGATTACGAACACATCCGTGCTGAGCTTGGGTCTCCAGTGGGCGGTGGTCGACCCTGGGGTCAGAAAAGGCACCGCGCCTGCGAGTGGGCTTTGGCGATGGGCGCAGCAGCCGTGCCACTGCCACGGTGCGTCAGAGGAAATCCAACCTCCCCTTTGATGGCGATCGTTTTGAAACAAAACAAAAAGACGGGGAGGGGGGGGAGCCTCCGAAAGATGAAAACTCCTCGGCGAGTAACGCCGCGCCGACAGCGACGGAGAGGCGAGACGCGAAGAAAAAATATCGCGCGATTCAATATCGAGAGGATTTCCAGAGAGCGGATCGGGCAAGGCCTTGGCCCGTGCGACACGCGACTCCTCGAGCTCGGCGCAGAGAGACAGAGAGAGACACAAAGAGACAGAGAGAGAGACACAGAGAGACAGAGCGAGACAGAGAGACAGAGAGAGAGACACAGAGAGAAGGAGACCACAGAGAGACAGAGAGAGAGACACAGAGAGACAGAGAGAGACACAGAGAGACAGAGAGAGAGACACAGAGAGACAGAGCGAGACAGAGAGACAGAGAGAGACACAAAGAGACAGAGAGAGAGACACAGAGAGACAGAGAGAGACACAGAGAGACAGAGAGAGAGACACAGAGAGACAGAGCGAGACAGAGAGACAGAGAGAGACACAAAGAGACAGAGAGAGGACACAGAGAGACAGAGCGAGACAGTAGAGAGACAGAGAGAGAGACACAGAGAGACAGAGAGAGACACAGAGAGACAGAGAGAGAGACACAGAGAGACAGAGAGAGACACAGAGAAGACAGAGAGAGAGACACAGAGAGACAGAGCGAGACAGAGAGACAGAGAGAGACACAAAGAGACAGAGAGAGAGACACAGAGAGACAGAGCGAGACAGAGAGAGACAGAGAGAGACACAAAGAGACAGAGAGAGAGACACAGAGAGACAGAGAGAGACACAGAGAGACAGAGAGAGAGACACAGAGAGACAGAGCGAGACAGAGAGACAGAGAGAGACACAAAGAGACAGAGAGAGAGACACAGAGAGACAGAGCGAGACAGAGAGACAGAGAGAGACACAGAGAGACAGAGAGAGACACAGAGAGACAGAGAGAGACACAGAGAGACAGAGAGAGACACAGAGAGACAGAGAGAGAGACACAGAGAGACAGAGCGAGACAGAGAGACAGAGAGAGACACAAAGAGACAGAAGAGAGACACAGAGAGACAGAGCGAGACAGAGAGACAGAGAGAGACACAAAGAGACAGAGAGAGAGACACAGAGAGACAGAGCGAGACAGAGAGACAGAGAGAGACACAAAGAGACAGAGAGAGAGACACAGAGAGACAGAGCGAGACAGAGAGACAGAGAGAGAGAGAGACAGAGAGACAGAGAGAGACAGACAGAGAGACAGAGACATAGAGAGAGAGACAGAGAGAGAGACAGACAGAGAGACAGAGACAGACAGACAGACAGAGAGACACAGGCAGAGAGACAGACAGAGAAAGACAGACAGAGACAGACAGACAGAGACAGACAAACAGACACAGAGAGACAGAGGGAGACAGACAGGCAGAGAGACAGCGACGGCGCATGTTGCTCGGCTCTCGTTACTCCTCGTGGACAACTTCTGCCGAATTGCATGAGACTTTTGGAAAGATTTGGGAATTTAATGTATGAAGCCTCGAGGAAACTGATTTTTCGTTACATATAAAAGTTGTTTAAATTCCCCATCACACCCCCCACCCACGACCCCAATTACGTTGCAATTGCGATACCGCTGGTCACGTTACGCGATGACGACTTTCACAAACCTCCAGCTCGCAGTGCGTCACGCTTGTGTCTGCGGAAGACCCCGGAAGGTGCCGTTGCACAACTACTTCTGAATGTGTCTCAACAGGCCTCTTCAGCCACATTGAGGGCACGCAATTTAATGCCCTGCAAAGTGGTTGCAAACTGAAATGCTTCCGTCTCAGGGTTAGAATGTAACCGAAGTATGTGAATAACCACCTTGAAATTATTTGCTTTGTATCGTCCGTCGTGGTTGCGCCGAGACCAGCCAGACTCCTCACGTGCCAAGCGCACCACTGCTTCTCCTCAATGGACGTTCCTCTTCATTAA